GAGCAAATAGGATTTTAGGTTGTATCTATAGAAATATTGAATACAAGTCTAAAGACGTTATACTTTCATTCAGCCACATTTGGAATATTGTGTTCAGTCTTAGGCTCCTTACCATAGAAAATACATTGAATTGTGGAAAGGGTTCAAAGAAGGTTTACTGGAATGGTGACTGGGAAGGAGTGGTTGTCATACGACGAGAGGCTGAAATCTCTCAAATTGTTTTCTCTTGAAAAAATAGAGCTGTGGGTATTTGTTTTAGGTGTTTAAGATTATAAATGGAATTGATAGTGTTGATGCATCATTTTTTTATATTTAACAATGAGTACAGTCGGACTAGGGGACACAACTGTAAATTTTGGCAAGGTAGGAGTCATTATCAGGTAAGATAGTTTCATTTTTCTAACAGGGTGGTTGGCCTTAGGAATGGGTTGCTTTCAGATGTTGTAGAGACAGTAAATTTTATTGAGTTTAAGAAAAAGCTTGATAAGTATATTGTTACGTCTCCGTTTGTTAATTAACTTTCCGTAATTTCGTTCCGACGAAACTTTAGCGTCACAAGTCCTTACTTAATAAAACTGGTTTATTTTTTCTGAATATAACTTCACGATACACTTATTTTCAACAGTCGCTCTATAACAACGCTATAACGAACGTTAACTTCAACAGTACTTTCTCACTGCAGATCAATTACTCGCTACCTACACAAACATTGTCACGTCACGCCGTGACCATCTTATATATACCAGACTACCCTATATCTAGTAATCTCTCGATAATTCACGAAGGTACAAGATATTTCCAGAAAGCAGTGGGCGTGACACTAATCACGTGACCTCGCTGACGCAACAATATGAATGAAGAGGGCTGGGTTTAAAATTTGTTTTTTTATTCATTTTAATTTAGTTTTAAGGATGGAACAACCGAGATGGGCCAATAGATCCCATGTTGTAACAAAACATTATGTTATGTAACTGAATAATCCAAAATAGTAGCTATCAAAATCATAACTAAAAACTGTAACTGTAACCAAATAGTCAGTTGATAACATTTTAAAATAAGAACGTATGTTTAAATAAAAGTTTACAGACAAACCTTGTTTCTTAATTGAATGATTTCTTATATTCAGATCCTTTCTTCAGTTTGTTGGAATTCTGATCTCTGATATTAAGTTTGAACTCATCACTTACTTTTTTATCCAGAGAAAACAGAAAAAACTGATGATAATTTGTTGACACTATATCATTGTTTATTAGGTCGAGCCAACAGGTGGCCTTAAGGTGCTCCTGGATCTGTTGAGACCTTTTTTGGCGAAATGGCGAAAACGACTGAAAGAAAATGGAAGCAGCTGGTTACATAGCTCGTTAGTTAGTACTCATCCATCCTGTACTCCAGCTCAGAATGTTGACATCTTGTTTTTCATGGAACGTCACGTTCTTAAAGTAGCCCGTGAAAAAGGATTTAGTGGAGTGTTTGCTCTTAACACTAATAAACTGACACAGGTATGATGCCTAAGTTCTTAATGATTAAATAAACTTTCCATTATTGTCTGTACAAAATTTTGTATATCAGTAGATGATATATAAGGATGTTCAGTTTAAGAAATTTACTGTAAAAGTCCAAATTTTAAGATTGGGCCTATTTTTTCAGACAGGCAAGTGACATGTGGTTATTTGTGAATGTTCAGGAGGTTGATGTAACGGCACTAACAATAGTCTGGAACTATTTGAAAGGTTGGTCACGTTGTGGCGAAAATGTACAAGAAATAGGAAAATTATATTTGTCTCCTTTCTAAAAACATTTTACAGTGTAGTCAAAAACTAGAACAAAAGATACAACATTATAACATTTAAGTTTTTTGCAAAAAAAAGTATAGCAGTTGTATAGTATTGCAATAAAGAATATGAGAAAGAAGAATACAAGTTACATCAACCTTCTGTTTATACTGTTGCGTCAGCGTGGTCACGTGACTAGTGTCACGTCACCTATTTTCTAGAAATATCCTGCTCCTTCGTGAATGCCCTAGCCTTTACTAGATTGGGGTAGTCTGGTATATATAAGATGGTCACAACGTGACAAAAGACGTAATGTGTAATTGAACTTAGTATTGTC